TCGAAATCGGGGGCCTCCGATTGGCGGAGCCTCAGTCCTTCTTGATGAGCGCTGGGATTGGCCGAACCGTTAGGCCAGGCGAGGAAATGGCGGCGGAGTCCGGTGGGCTGGGAGGTGTCGCAGCGCGCACTTCATTTGTTACTGCGTGAACTGAGCTCGGAGTCCAGAAAGGAGGGGATGGGGTGGGGCGAGCTCTGTGACGGAGCGTCGACGAGCTCTCTCATTGGCTGCGGCGGTGGAGTCAATCAATTTCGCGTGCGTCGTAGTGTCGCGGGATTGGCTGTCGCTGGTTCCAGCTTTTTTTCTACTCTCCTCTCTCAGGGGGCAGTTTCTCCGGGATTAAGCGAGAAGTCGCGGCGGAAAAGGCCCAGCCGGAACGAGATTTATGGCGGGGGAAATCCTGGAGCAGGAAGTGCGCATGCGTATATAGAGCAACACGGCCCTCTCCGCTAGTCTCACTTCAGCATCGACCCTCGGGTCCAGCTTGGAAGCCCTAAGTGACGTCAACCTTTGTTCCCATGGTAACGCGGAACCTTGGGGCGGGAGCACGGGAGGGGCTGATGCGCGCCGGAAAACCGGCTCCGTTACGCCGCAGGTAAAGAGACTTCCTGTTTTTTTTAAATAAAAGACCCAAAAAGCTATGAATAGAGAAGACTTATTGAAGGATTAAAAACAGTATTTGAAGTGATGCAACAACAAATTAGATGAAAGATAACATAAGGTTGTCAATTCAAAAGTTACAAATACACACTTCTATCGGAATCTTAACGGAGTTCAGAGGATTTAATTAAATGATCTTAAAATCATATAAAACAGTAACTACGGCCGGGCGGCGGTGGCTCACGCGTAATCCCAGCACTTTGACAGGCCGAGGCGGGCGGATCACAAGGTCAGGAGTTCGAGACCAGCCTGACCAATATGGTGAAACCCCGTCTCTACTAAAAAATACAAAAATTAGCTGGGCGTGGTGGTGCACGCCTGCAATCCCAGCTACTCTGGAGGCTGAGGCAAGAGAATCACTTGAAGCTGAGAGGTGGAGGTTGCAGTGTTCCTAGATCCGGCCACTGTACAGAACAAGACTGTCTCAAAAAAAAAAATACTACAGTAGTGGGAAAACTTTACAAGATGGAGCAGGAGCTTGCCTTTCCAGATGACAAACATAGTATATAAAACAAAACAGGCCAGTGCGGTGGCTGACACCTGTAATCTCAGCACTTTGGGAGGCCAAGGTGGGTGGATCACCTGAGGTCAGGAGTTCGAGACCAACCTGACCAACACAGTGAAAACCCTGTCTCTACTAAAAGTACAAAAATTAGCCCAGCATGGTGGCAGGCGCCTGTAATCCCAGGTTCTCAGGTGGCTGAGGCAGGAGAATTGCTTGAACCCGGGAGGCGGAGGTGCAGTGAGCTGAGATCGCTCCACTGTTCTCCAGCCTGGGCAACAGAATGAGACTCCGTCTCAAAAACAAAAAAACCACAATAATAAAACAATATGATATTGTTGGTAGGAAAGACACATTAGTGCAACAGAATCCGGAAATACCACAAAGGTGGTATTTTATTTCAATCAGGAAAAGATGATTTAGTTGATAAATGGTGTAGAATCTTAAATTTAAACAACAAGACATTTAGAATATAATTTAGGAGACTATATAAGGGTAATCTAGGGTAATCTAGGGATTGAGGGACTGCAAAGACAGGAACCTCAAACTATGAAAAGATATACTTGATTACCCCAAAACTTAACACTGTGATAAAAGTCAACAGACAATGATAGATGAGGAAAAAATATTTGCCATACATGATAGAGCCAATATCTATAATATACAAAGAAATCTTAAAAACTAATTAGAAAAAAGGCGGAAACAATAGAAAAGGAACAAAAAATAGGAATGGACATGTCTCAGAAGAATAAATCCAAATAGCCAAGAAACATGAAAGGGTGTACAACCCCTCTGCTGTGGTTTTTTAAAATAAATATAAAAGATGTTGGAACCCCCACAACACTTTAAACCTGGAGAGAGAGGTGGCTGTGATCTCAGCCACATAGGGTTATACTTTTTTCTCAGATAATAAATTAGACCTGCTTATTTTTTTTGTTCTGTACAATTACTGGAGAGAATGAAACACAGGGACAAAAACCTGCTGCCTTCTTAATGACCCTTCTTATAGATTAACTTCCCTTTTGTTGTCCTGCTTTACTTAGACCAGATGACAGCAAATCCATGACTATTACACTCTCTGTAAAAAATGTTAAATGTATGCCTCCCAAAAAGGAACACTACTTACAACCAAATTATTATTATTTTTATTTGAGACGGTCTCGCTGTTGCCCAGACTGGAGTGCAATGGCACAATCTCGGCTCACTGCAACCTCTGCCTCTGGGGTTCAAGCAATTCTCCCCCGTCAGTTTCCCGAGTAGCTGGGATTACAGCCACCTGCCATCATGCCCAGCTAATTTTTGTATTTTTGTAGAGTTGGGATTTCACCATGTTGGCCAGGCTGGTCTTGAACTCCTGACCTCAGGTGCCCACCTCAGCCTCCCAAAGTGCTGAGATTACAGGCGTGGGCCACTACACTCGGCCTATAACCAAATTACTATAACTATGCACCGACCATATATGAAAAATGTAATCCTAAAACTTCTCTGCCTCTGCCTGTGTAAATGAAACCTTAACTTCTCTACTTCAAAACACTGACTCCATTCATTTGGAGTCGGTGTTTCCAGGTGGTCCACCCTCATGTTTTGTGCTTGAATAAACTATTAGAATTAGATTCTGACCCTTTTGATTAGGTGGACAGGTTTGAATATGTCCCCCAAAGCTCATGTGTTAGAAACTTAATCTCCGGCCAGGCGTGTTGGCTGCATCACTTTGGGAGGCAGAGGTGGGTGGATCACCTGAGGTCAGGAGTTCGAGACCAGCCTGGCCAACATGGTTCTCCTGCCTCAGCCTCCCAAGTAGCTGGAATTACAGGCACCGCCACCATGCCTGGCTAATTTTTTGTATTTTTAATAGAGACGGGGTTTCACTATGTTGGACAGGCTGGTCTTGAACTCCTGACCTCAGGTGATCCACCCATCTCAGCCTCCCAAACTGCTGGGATTACAGGCATGGGCCACAACGCCTGGCCAGAAATCTCTATTCTTAATTACCTAGACTGGGTGTGGTGGCTAATGCCTGTAATCCCAGCACTTTG